AAACGGGCTCTCCCACAATGGCTTCACTTATCGCCCCCCCTTAATTTTGGCAAAATTTGCGTTTTCAACTCCAGAATGCGGAAATAAGGGTGATCGCGCATGCGCGCCCTTCTTCACTTAGCCAACAACCGGACCCTCAATCGGCAAAAACCTGAATGACTTACATTGAAAGACAAGTAACAATCTTTGACCTTTCTGTCACGTACTTCCTCTCTTAAGGTCAACTAACAATGAAAATCCTTCTAGAACATTCTAAAGGACAAAGCGTGCGAAATCATGACTTGGCAAAAAATTGCCTCCCTTTCCCTGCTTCTTTCACAATGAATCAAAGCTTGTACAAAATTTGCAAATAAAAGAAAATAAATAATATTCTTTTAAACTAAATAATATTCCCAGAAGCATCTGTTTTTCCCCAAAATTAAAGCCTTAAAATAAATAATTCATAATCAAATAAAAATTAAGATTTCCATAAATCAGAAAATCATTCACATAGTTTTTATAACGCTATCAGACAAATTCTCTACACAACAAAAGATTATTTTCTATTTAATTAGTGCTGCTATCCGTGAGGAAAAATAAAAACAGAAACATTCCAGGTTGTTTTAGTTTAGTGACTAGTTAGGCTAGATTATGTGTTAAAATTGGAAATTCGAGCAAAGAAATAGTTGTTTTTCAGCCTTTATGAAAAACTGAAGTATTAGAGTGGAAGCCTGAATTATAGTTCTAAATAAAATGGAAGTTAATTGGAGTGAGGTTTCTAGAAATAATGTTTTAACTGAAGATTTAATTAGAAACTTTGAAAATGCTATTCACTGCAATTTGATTTATAGATATAAAAAATTATCTGAATCTTTCATCAGCGAGTATAAAGATAGTTTTTTGTTTCTTAAATAGTCTATTTTGTGCTCACTATTTTCAGCTCTTCCCTTATTTTCATAACTCTGTGTCTTGTTACAACTTTTTTCTAAATTTGATACTTAATTTTGTACAATTCTTTCCCCCAGCTGCCAATTTAGAGGTATTTTTTGATAGCTCCTTACTTTCAACCTATCAGAAACACCTACTTCTGACATCACTACTATGCCCACAAGCCTTTTGACACCTGGTTTCCTCAGTGGTTAAGTGTCTAGTGTTCAACATCTCACTAACTCATTGGAAGTGTCTGATTTGACTTGGGATTCTCTGCATTTGGAGCGTATTTGACTTTCTTGAGTTACTGCCTTCAAAATGCTAGCCATAATTTGTTATCAACTTAGTTACACTGAGGGGATCGGACTACAACCTGTAACGTGTAACCTGCTCACCTGAATTGTATAAAGATAATTTTTTGGATAATATTTAAGCTTACCAGAAATTATCTGCACCATTTATTATTTATGCGTGAAAATCTGATTAATTGGGATATTATATCTAGATATCAAGTATCTGAAAAATTCATTTTAGATAACAAAGATAAAATAAATTGGGAAACAGTTTAAAAATATCAAATTTTAAGTAATAATTTTATTTTACAAAATTTTAGAAAATTAAATATAAATTTAGTTTTTAGATATCAAAAGTTAACAGAAAATACTATTGAAGAATTTAAAGATGTAGTGTTGAATGAAATAATTAAACATCAAGATTTCAGTGAAGCCTTTTAAAATAAACATGAATACAAAGTAGACTGGTGTAATTAAAATTTTATATAAACAAGTGTCAGAAACTTTCATTACAAAACATCATGAGAGAATTTGTATTATATTATTATCTCACATATGTGTGAATCTTAAGGATTCCTGTTTAAATGTTTACTAATAATATAGTGAGACCTAAAAGCCTTTAAAAAATATTAGCCAATAAATGGATGAATTCAATGGTCTCGGATTATCCTAAAACTCTAAAATTGAAAACTTTAGACACTGGGAGATGTAATCTGATCATACTGAGAAAATTCAAGACTAAATTTGAGATACATGTTATAGTAAAAATAGAAGTAGGTAATGAAGATAAAGAGTACCCCCCCCCAAAAAAAGTCATAGAAAACTCTGGCAATGCAATCAAGAAAATTAATAAAGGAAATTACATAATCAATTATAAAGATGTGATTGATAGACAATATTCATAAAAATTAGAAAAAGGATATCTTACATGAATTAGAAAAAAGAATCTTAAAATGTTTGAAATTTTGTTTTTTTACTATTAATTTGTATTTTTTATAGATACTTTAATCTTTTTTAGTCTTTTTTAAAAAGTACCTTAAATGCTATGTAAATTTTTTTTAAAATAAGTTGTTTTTTATAAAGCTTTAAACTTTTTACATAATTTTTATTGTTTTTGTAGAAATAGCATAAATTTTAATATTGTAAATTGTTGAGTCTTGAGGATGGCATAAAATGTCATAAAAAGGGTGAAATGATGCATATTTCATGTAGGAAAAGTTTCTAAACTACTTTATTTCTACTCTTATTTTTTAATTTTAATTCTTGTCTTTTGATTGCTAATTTCTCAAAATTCCACTTGTTTAAATTTCTTTTTAGTAATTCACCACATTTGGTATTACTTTTGGTTTGACTTTTATTCTTGCCTGCATAAATGATGAAACACGAATTGAATGATTGAAGAGTTAGGTTTGGAAGCAACTTCCCCTTGATAAGTCTGTTTCCTGCCTGCTCGACAATCATTCACTTATGCATTTTTCTAAATAATTTTTTTAGGATTAAATAATTTTATATTTATTCATGAATTTGATACTTGCACTTGATTTACATATGCTCTCAGAATTTAAATGATATTGTAGATTAGTTCGCAACAACATTAATCATTTATTTGTTTGCATTTAATTTAATTTAAATTAACTTTAAATTTGCTTTTTATAAATAGAGAATGTTTTTTAAATTCAAATTATTACTAAGCAGCATATGTATTCAACTATAGGAAACGGATTTTTTTTACACAGATGTTGATGATGAAATCAACATTTCTTTATTAAAAAAATCTTTGTGTGCTATAGTGGGGTACTTATGCTGCTTTTATGAATAGACAATGCTGCTTTTATGAATAGACTAGCCGCTATGCGGCCAGCCTTCATGTGGCTTTTAAACGTACCGAAAAAATGCCTAAAAGATACACCTGGGACCGATGGCCGCGTAAGTTCTTCCAACTTTTTTTCTCTTTGTTAAGATTCCAACCCTCCCTTGCATATGGCCCTGATGTATCTCCAGAAAAACATATACATCTTGAATTTTTAGCAAACTGATTGCATGAAATGTGCATTAAACATTTGTTGAGCATAACTTATATCCCCCTTCTTAACCACCACCATAACTACATAAAAAATTATATAAAAATTCTACAATAAAATTAAAATTTTTAACAGTTTCTTACTCGATAGTTTGAATGATTCTTTTTCTGAAATGTGAAACGTTATGATACTTTAGGAATCTTCTGAGAAAGTGTGTCAACAGTCACATCGCAGCCATTAACTTGATGATACTAAACAGTATCCCATAATACAAATATTAATTATCCTAATAAATAACTTAACCAACTTCCCTTTGCAAAATCTTAAGATCTCAAATGGTATAAAGGAGGCAAAGAACTTTATTTCCTAAAAAAATCACTCAAAACTTTTCAATATCTTAAAAAGAGTGAAATGAGCAATAAATAACATAAAAGAATACAAAAAACAAAAAATTCTGAAAAGCAAAGTATAATTAATGATATTCTATCTTATATTAATATTTTCAAGAGAAAAAAATTACAATGAAATAAGCTATATCCCTTAATAGTAATATTAATTATACTAATAAAAAATTAACCAACTTTCCATTGAAGAAAAAAAATCATGCAAAACTTTTCAGTATCTTACAAACAGTGAAATAAGCAAAAAATAACATGAAAGGAACTCAAAAAACGAAAAATTCCTGCAGAATTTTACTCTGCAGAACAACTTTATCAAAAAAATCAATAAAAATGTATTATATATATATAAAAATGGACAATGAAATATGCCAATCTCCTAAACAAAAACAGTGACATAAGAAATACGATGAAAAATTGTTGCCAAACCCATATTTCAAAAAAGAATGAAACTATTCAAAATGATGCAATTTCATCAAAAATCTATCAACACAATAAATCACATTTTAAAGATGTGAGAAATGTACTCGGAAGCTTCATTTAAAAATTTTTTTAAAAATACAAAATATTATCATTTTTCCAAAATTCTTTTTGTAAAAGCAGTCGCAAGGATGAAAGTTTAACGTGCCCAAAAATCAAAGAAAAATAACTGCATTTTTAAAAATAAACTTTTTTAGAAAAAATCTCGTTGAAAAAGTGTTAAGCTCACTTTGTTAAATAAATTCGTATTTAATCGATTTATTGAAACACAAAATTTATTTTAAGTTCATAAAATAGCTAAGTGCCTACGTTTCATGATGATGTGAAAATGGAGTGTTTAGAGTAAAATCTCGCTTTCCTATAGCCCATTATGCCTCAAAATGACGCAATGTCGTCACAAAACATAAAATAAAAAGAATTCTAATTCGGATTTCGAAAAAATCGCTTTGAGGTGCACTGGCTCTTGTATAGATGCATCTGTGTACCAAATTTCGTAGTAGTGGGTCTATTAGCTTACGCGCAGCGCGAACTAAAGACACACACACACAGATAGACTCTTTCTTTTATTATATGTATAGATAGATAAAAATTTCTTCAACTTTTGTGAGATGTCATTTTATTTTATTTAAGGAAAATGTTTTGTTTATGTTGAGGAAAAAATATTGAAAACTGAGATAATGTTTAGAGAGAATTTCAATGTCATGTGTAAGTATGTTTGTATGTACATGTCAAGCAGCAAAAAATTTTATAAGTGCAGTGGTAGTGACATTATTTCAAATTATGTCGACATGACAGTGAAAGGAAATTGAGAATTTAATTCAGTGAAGATGAAACTGCTTCCTTTATGTTATCATTTTTGTTAATTGCATTAAATTTTTTAATGTTTTCTTGTAGTTTTTTGAAAAGCAATTAAATCCAGATTTATGTGATTGCTACTTTCTAATAATTGTATATCATTTTAGGACAAGCTCACAGAATTAAAAACTGCAGAAAAGGAAATCAAACAAAGAGGTGCGATTAAAGGGGACGAGATTAAGCAATTTCGAGCAGATAAAGTTTGTATTTCATTCAAAATATTTTATCACACTGAGTAAAAATGCTGAATGCTTTTTTGAGTATGTGCCAATTTCTGTAGTATAGTACAAAGTCCGAGATCTGGACGTGCAATATCCAGAATTTTCTAAAATGCGAACCTCAAAGCCACAAACAACTTTTTGTTTTGGTATGCGTTCGATGCACATTTGATTTTTTTCCTCTCATAATAAAACATGTGGAGTCCCGATTCTTAATTTCACCTAGCCACTAAATAAAATACCTCATTGTTGAAGAAATAATAATTTTAGCATAAATTTGTGAAAAAAATAATTTGGCTGCGTATCTGTTCTGAATACATTTCAAAGTGAAACATTCTACATAGGAATATTGTTGCTTTTACACCTTTTAGTATTTTATAACCCTGACACCAACCATTATTTATTATATTTTGCTTTCATCACCGCATGTATATTAACACATGACAACTTAAGTAATAACTCATGCAGCAATTGCAACCTTTTATGCTGACATTATGCTTGGCAATGATTACAGATTTAAGTTAAATGTGCTAAGAAATGTTGATGAGGAAAAATTTAATAAAAATTACTTTCCATATGCTAAAAGTAGATTATGTTAATGAAACTCATAGGCCAAAAGATTGTGTTTAGTATTATTTGAATTAAGAATAACTGATATGTCATTCACATAAAGCCAGAACTGGTGTCAGAGCTCGTATGGGCGCACCAGACGGCAGAATTTGGTGAACACAAAATTTTCATGATTTAGAGAATCACTGTGGGGCAAAATTAATGGATGACAAAATTTTGTTATTTAGGGGAAGCACTGGAATCTAAAGTTTATGGGTGGCAAAAATTTAGAACTTAGAGGTGTTTTTGAAGCAGAATTTAGGACCCGCAGAGACTGCATCAGATGGTATCCAGGGCCAGTCCTTGACAAGCCTTAAGTATATGTGGGAGTTTATTTATTCAGGACTCAGATTAGCCTTAAGCATGTGAAAGGAGTAGATGTAAATATAATAAATAACTTGACTAATAGAATTGAGTCTTAATTGTCTCAGTACACGATAGAAGCAAGACAAAATTTAGGGGAGCAACTTGTCCTTCATCGCCAATCTCGCGATACGAAGCCAATAATGTATAGCAGATGCTATTTAAGCTAGACTAAAATTATACTTTACTGATTCTAAGGAATTTCAGTCAGTTAATATAACAGGCTGCAATGCTCCTTAATCTTGTAATATGATCCAGCTTATTATTTTTTGCAACTTATTAATTTTTGCAGATTATTTTTTATGAAAATTAAAGCTTGATTTTTTGATTATGTCGAAAAGGGATTCTAATTCTGGAGCTGCAACAGGATCTTCAAAGCGAAAGCATGTTTCGATGTCCCTTAAACAAAAAGTGGAATTGCTGCAAAAAATGGATAAAGGCATATACGTCTTAGACTTATGCAATTATGCAAGGAGTATAACTTTGTAATGTCAACTGTATATGATGTAAGAAAAAAGAAAAGGAACTTTTTGTAGATTCCAACACCTCACTTGCAATGAACAAGAAAAATTGTTCGTTATGCTAAAAGTGACGATCATGACGATCATGCAAAGTGATGACTGAATGTGTCAGACAGCATTGCAGCCAGGGCATGCCATTGACATGGCCAATGCTAATGCCTCAAGCTAAAATATTTCTTAAAGAAGTAAACTTAAAAAATAAGTGCACATAATCAACAGGTTGGTTAATCAAATTTAAAAATCGCCATGTTATAGGGCAACTAAAAATTTCAGTTGAAAAAGCTTTAGCTGATACTGAAGCTACTGAACTAATTGCAGATGAATTCATTGAACTCATTACTAGCGAAAAATTATCTCCAGAACAAATTTACAACACTGATGATGTCTGTTCATAGAATTAAAGAGAAATTATTAGTTCAAAAAACGAAGCAACTTAAACAACTTACATTCAAAGAAATGTTTAATAAAGTAAACAAATATATATCAAGCCTTTTTTTTTTTTTTTGTAAATTTTGATACCCTTTAGATCATAAATGCTCATTATTTCATAAACCACGATTTTATATTTTAAATTTTATAATTTCTGCATGCCATCTTACTAGATTTAAATTGATGATCTAATATCTGGAATCGCCGAAGTCCCGATGAGTTCGGATCTTGGGTTTTGTACTATAAATATAAACCAATTTACAATTTTTCTGTACTATATACATAAAGCAGTTTCTGTAGATGAAATATGTATGTTTCAGTTTTGAGAGAAATATTAATGGATATATTCTGAACATTACAACTCTAAATTATAGGCCATCAAATATATTGAACTGTTATTAGCAATTTGTGTCCCACAGTCTTTCATGAAAAGGTTAATTCACAAAATAGCTATGATTTTATTAGAAAGTATTCATATTTATATGTTTATTTTATTTTATTTATTTTTAAAGGAGTGTGATATAATTCATACTGTTTTATCTTTTATTCTGCCTATCATCATTCTTCCTCCATTACTATTACTGCTAACTGCTGCTTTAGGAGAAAGTAAAACCATTATTGCTACTTTAATAAAAACTAAAAATGTTGTTAAAGTTTAACAAAATCTCATGCAAAAAAGGTACAAAGTTTCAAACCATTAGTATGATTTCTAAAAGTACTTGCCTTAAAAGCATAATAAATAACTTTAATCAGCACATCATTAAATTGCAGCAAGTTTAGTTACATATTGAAATCTTCATTGAATGGAAAAGTAAAATCGTTGAAAAGGCCAAGAAAGGAATATGTAAAACAGAAGTTATTAAAGAACAAACCAATCTTTACAAAATCAAAAATTCAAGAATACCATTCAAGAATTAAAAAGAAAATCAATTATTATCATTATTGATAAGGCCATTAACAGTTTTAGCGTCATCTAGAAAACATTTTGCAAAGACCTTATTATAAATGAACTCTACCAACCCAATACCTATATATATATATAAAAAATAATTTCGAGTATCGGTGAAATTCAGGTTTTCCATAAAAAAATTATAAATTCTGCAGAATTCCAGTTATAATAAATAGAATGTAATCTCCACACATTACCCAAGTTTCACAGAATGAAATTAAATTTTGTAACCTATCTTTTAATATAAGCTCTACAGCTAATATAAACTGTGGGACTAACTGTAGCAACAAGAGTGCCCTCTGGTGAGTAGCCAGAGAAGTACTTCAGTAAAAGCCAAGTGATTAACCTGGACTCTTGCTCTGTAATTAGCTTAACCTGGCAGAAGGCGCATCAAGAAAAGTTACTAGAGTGAACACATGGGGTATCATATACTCCAGTATTTAAAATATGATAAAAACAATTTTATGTAGTTTTAAAGCTGTTTTTCTTTTATATTGCATGAATAATACTTAGGTTACCCCCCCAAGAAAAAAAAAATCAAAATAAGTTTATAGAGAGTTAAAATTAAGATAAAAAAAAATAATAACAAAATAAACATCATACCTCTAAATTTTATTGCATATCTAATACACAAGTTTTCACATTTTATTCGTTTGAATTATTCCTTGAAACTTCTTCTCTTCTTTTGCATGCAGTACATAAGTTTCTTGGTAAAGTATTAATCTCTGATCGTTGTTCAATACATTTTTTTTAAAAATTAATTGTAATGCTAAGTACCTCAAAAGCAAACATCTGCTTCTTATCTGGTTAGTGGATTATCAATTAAAAATAATTTAAATCGATCATTGCAGCAACATTCAGTCCAGAAAAGAAAAATACCATTGGCCACTTCCTTGTTATTCTGGCAGATGAATAACTGGCTGCCATTTCACTCAGAGTATCAACTGTTCCCTTAGTCATATTATAAAAACATATAATTTCTGGCATTTTCTTTTCTGCAGTTGTATCATCTATAGCATCATCGTTATGTAATGTTGAAAGCATAGGAACAGTTTTTCCTTTTTAGGAACATAAAAAATTAATGTTTTATCTTTTTCGAAACCGAACAGTGTAGAAAGTATTCCTATTTTCGTCCTCAGTTTCCAAAATGCAATCTTTGTCACTTTCAAATATTTCTAATAAATCTCACAGCCATTGCATTTCCAATTCATACGAAGTCATTCTTTTAGCCACAATGCTTTTAGACATTTAAAAAAAAATTATTTTCAAATATGTTAAAATTGTTTGCAAGTAGAAATATTTACTGTTATACTCTAGAAATAAATATTCAGTCAGAAAAACATGTGGACAGGCACGTGGGGTATGTCATACCCCATTTGCAATAAGATACTGATAAAACTTTTTCTGAAACACACTGGCAACAGAAAAGTGGTTCTGAAAGTCAGCCACTACTAGAAACTCTGCTACTGAATGCAGCAGAGAAATTCAGTTTCACAAGTTAGGAATATTCCACTTTTTTTGTAGAGTTTGGGTATGGTGCACTCCACACACTTTTCCCCGGGTTAAATGTAATGTCCATGTGTAACTTAAACCTGTTAATAAAATATTGTTACACTATAAAGAATATCTTTTATGACCCCGTCCAAAACAACCTCCCTCATAATTTGACGTCCAACATACATGTTTAACTTTGAGTATATTTGCTTGGCTTTTGCTCACTTTCTTTTTCAGAAACAGTACTTGATTCCACACCCTTCGGATCTAACTCCTAAAACTTTAGGTAAAGGGGAATACCTCGTACATCATTTATGAATTTTTTTCCCTGCCACTCCGATGGCTTATAAGCAATAAATAGTTGTTGTCAATGCTATAATTTGTTTTGCATTTAAACACTAATATTTTGTAATATGTTAACTCTTAATGTTGAAAACGTGAAAGTACGGAAATATGAAAATGTAAATTACTTTATTGTGTTCTTAAAGTATATATATATATATATATATATATGTAATTTTTACAAATATTATGTCATTTAGAAATTATTAAGAAATTCTTTGATTTTTGTTTATACATAATGCGTGCACGAGAACTGTATAATCATAATATTCAGTTTTGTTTCAAAATGGTATATATGGTAAAACATAAATATGTGTAATGTATTCAAAGTGAGGCATTTTAGGAGTAAAAATCTGTATTAGAGATTGTTATATATAACATGCAAACAATATTCCAAACAAATGTCTCTTATATCCCGCCAAGGGTACCAGAAAATGTTTACTTACACGCCAAAGTAAACTATTACACTACCAGCATATTACAAACTTCTGTAGACTAATAAACATATTCTAAAGTATTCATTATTGTTGAAAATAAGTTTCGATCTTAATTAAAAACAGCACTCATGTAAATAACAAAACATCCTTTTAACAATTCTACTTATTTTGCACATATTTTTTCTAATTCTATAAGTTGTTTTGTTGCCACCTCCAAGAAGTAAAACTAACAGCAATTATTAGTGGGTAAATGGCATTAAATAAATAAAATTAAATGAAAGTAAAATGCAAACTACATGTGATATGAAATCCTACAGGTATGGGTGTTCGTAAGTGTATAATGTTGTATTGTTATTCTAAAAAGTCCTTTCATATGGTTGGTGGTAAAGAGAAAAAGATAAGGGACTTCATATCTACACCTATTAAAATTGGTATGGAGTTGAACAATAATAGGGTTTAGCAGCTAGAATGCTAAAATCCTGTTGACAATTCCCATCATCCATGATCAACTACTGATGCAAATATTCTCATATCATTGGACAGTTTAGAAACATACAATTTGCAAGAATTGTCTGTTTGTCGTATTTGTAATTGTATTTGGTCATATTGAAAAGTTGTAATTTTTAAGTTGTACTGTTACTTACTTTGTTACTTATTCAAAATTTCTTCACAGAATTGTTTTTTGTTCTTTAAATTTTTCTTTTACAAATTTTATGCTGTTTACTGTTCATTCTTTTCCTGATTACTGATTTATTTTAAAACTAATTTACTAATTATTACCTTTTAGAACCTTATTAGCAATTTACCTGATAGTATTCCTGAGGTTAAAGAAAAGATCATACAAATTGAAACCCAACTCAGTATAAATGGTGAAGAAGATGAATCAGTAAGTATATGTTTATTAGACTGCTCCTTAACTCTCAGGACATTACGGGTTTGATCCTGAAGTTTTAAACAAAGTTCCTCAAAATGTCATGAATAAGCGGTATTTTCTTGATTATACTTCCAAAATTTCTCTTTTACTTTGTATACAAGGACTGTTTTTCTACCAACATTCATCCAACCTGTAATTGGAGTTTTCAGAAGATAGTTCTGACAGATATTTTCATGTGTAACAAATGAGGAAGTCATTCTTTGTTATAGAATTTTACTTCCATTACCCTCAGAGGGTTAAAACAAAAATATCTTATAGGCACAAGATGTATTTTAAGATGTGTGGAGTGTTAATTAGTAGACAATGATAATTCAATAGTCATAGAATTATATTTATTAAAGAATATGATACTAGATGTTATAAATTATAATTAAGTCCAAGGATAACATGGTCTAAGTACAAAGTATCAAAATCTATAAAATTAAAGTAGAAACTGTAATGTTAATTTTAGAAGCATAAAAAAGACAAATAAATAAATGCATATTAAAATTTATCATTTTATTATAATTTATGGTAACATAATAAAGCAAGTGTAATATATTACTTTATTTTTTTTCATTGCATGTGCTAAAATATAATTATGATATTCTAAATTAATAATTAAAATATTTTAAATGCCGTTATGTTTGCTTTTGATGTGAATGGTTGTACATGTTGAAATATTCATAATTTCATGTTCTTTTATTTTAGTAGCTATTGTTTCCACAGTCACAACTTTTGTTTATTCATAACTTATAATGACCATCCATTTTTTTTTTTTTTTAAATATTAAAAGAAGTGATTCGTAAGTTAGAAAGCATGCCAATAAAATATGGAAAACATAATAGTGTACAATGTGTTTCATCTTAACTTAGTGAGATTGATATGTATTATCCACAGCATGTATTTTGTCTTTTACTTAGGAGAAATCAATACATTTTATCCGCTATATGTAAAGGTTTTCTGTAAGTTGGTAAATTAAGTCTATCTTCTAGCCTAAGAGAGTCTGTAGGTTCCAGAGACTGTATTACACTGAAAACTTTCTCTTTAATTATTATCTCTGCTTTGACTATTCATTGGATATTATTCAAATATTAAATTTTTGTTTATAAAATAAATTAATCCATTTCTGTTCTTGAAGAATGCAGAAGAAAGGAAATTTCATTGAAAGGCATAAGGAATTAATCTATTTTTACATACATGATTTATTTATTTATTATTATTTTTTTTTTTGTGTGTGTGTGTGTGTGATCTGTGGAGTTTTAGAAGTTTTCTTCATACAATAGACCCAACATATAATATGAAGGAAAATTAAATATCAGGAATATTAATTATATCTTAGCATCAGGAGAGTGAAGTTTCTTTATATGACCAAAAGACCCAATATTTTATTTAACTGTTGATTTTCAGATTATTCATTAATTACAAATAAGTTAAAGATTAAAAGTACCTTTGAATATGCAGTTAGTACTTTTTTATAAGGAACTTTGGTTTATTTGGCATCATAAAAGTTACCTAGTATTAAAAAATGTATGTTAGTCACACAAGGCATTTTAAATCTAAATTTTATATCATTGTCAATAAATACCAAATCATCAATATTATTATATCAAATAATTCTATCTCCTTAAATTTTATTCAAAAGGCAGATTTTTTAAGTATTGTATGTAAACTAATGTTTTCAATATGTTTTACTAGTTGTACACAGATAAATAATATTTTGAACTTTAGAAAAGGATTTTTTCTTTATTTTTTAAACTTGTGTTGGATGTCATGTATTCTAAGTACTGTCTTGATATTTTTCAGTTTTAGTTATTGAAGTATACCAGTAATTCAGTTTCCCACACATAATATCAATTTCTCAGTAATCAGTACACATAATCTCAGTAAACTTTGATTTTTATGTTATAAATTTTAAAAATCCCATTGGATTTAGTTGAATCAATTATTATGAATGAGAATTTGTGCAATGTAGGAAAATGTTGTTTGTACTTACCATTAGAACCAGAGAAATTGGATCAATAAAATCTCTTTAAAATTAGGGGAAAAAAAAAAAAAAAAAGAGTGTAGTTTGATGTAAAATTTGATTTTGAAAGGGACCAAACACAGGTTCGTCTTTACTGAAGAATTTAAGAACAACTTGTTTAACTTCTCCAATAATCGTTATTCACCGTGTTATTTTAACCTAAATTACAGATTCATCTTCTTCAGGAGGGGAAAAGTGTTTCTCTCTAGCAGAAAAGAGACCCATGTCTGATTATGCTTGAAATTTATAGGAGTTTCACTCAAAATTTATTTCAGATTAAGGTTGCTTTTTTTGCCTAATTTTAAATTTTACAATGGTGTGTTTCTCTTCTAGTTTGAATCTAGTCTGTGTCAAAACATAAGGAACTTTGTCAATGAAATGGTGTATCATAGAAGAAGCATACTGCATTCTTATTTGTTTATACGTAGCCTTCATAATGTTTTGCGGCATGGATTTTTGGCAATTTAATGATACGAGGCATATTTGGAAACTAAGTACCATTTTGGAAAAAAAAAAAAAAAAAAAAAAAGTAAAACAATTTTTTCGAATCCAATTTTATTTTTACATGAAAATACATGTCTTAAACTATTTTTCCAACATAGTTTCTGCCAATGATCAAACACTTGTCATAGCGGTGACCAGTTTTTGTATACCATCGTCAAAGAAACTTCCCGCCAATTTCGATAACCACGACTCCACAGCATTTTTCGTGTCATCGTCAGATCCAAAGCGCTTGCCACCAAGTTCGCGCTTCATGTGCAGGAACAAGTGATGGTCGGACGGCGCCAAGTCCGGGCTGTACGGCGGGTGATCGAACTGCTCCCAATGAAACTGTCGAATTAACGATTGAGTGACACCAGCAGTATGGGGCTGAGCATTGTCATGGAGCAGCACAATTCCTTTACTGAGGATTCTTCTTCGTTTGTTTTGAATGGCACACCTTAGTTTTGTTAAAGTCTCACAATATCGTGCCGCATTAATGGTTTCACCTCTGGGAAGAAATTCACTAAGCAAAACGCCTTTCCTATCCCAGAAGACAGTGCACATGATTTTTTGTGATGACATTGTCAGTTTGAACTTTTGTTTTTTAGGAGAATGAGTTGTCTCCACTCCATCGATTGTTGTTTCGATTCTGGTGTGAAATGACACACCCAAGTTTCATCACCTGTCACAATTTGGTTTAAAAAGTTTTCTCCCTCATCACTGTACTGCATGAGAAATGTCAGGGCACTACCAAGTCACTTTGTTTTCTGAACATCAGTAAGCATTTTTGGAACCCATCGAGAACACAGTTTGCGATAATTCAAGCGGTCAGACACAATTTCGAACAAAACAGTACGTGAAATTTGTCGAAATGCCTCTGAAAGAGTTGTCATTGTGAAGCGTCTGTTCTCATGAATTGCTTCATCAACTTTCCTTACCAAATCATCGGTGACAACAGAAGGCCGACCACTCCGAGCCTCGGCGTGGACATTTGTTCGACCTGCATTAAACATTCTTACCCACTTTCTCACCATTCCATCACTTATCGCGTATTCACCGTAAACTTCTGTCACTTGACGATAAATTTCGGCCTGTTTAACATTTGTCGTGTTCAAAAATTTAATCATGGCATGAATCTCACAGTCAGCGGGAGAACTAATTGTCTTAAACATTTTGAATGTGCACAGCAAACTGAAAGCACAACATAGAGCAACCAAAATTTCGACAATTGAAAGTCAGTGAACAAGATAGACTAGTGCGCATGCGAGGGACGTTACCACAGCGCTGTGACGGCGCTAGAATGAAACGGTACTTAGTTTCCGAATACGCTACGTACATAAGTGTGTGACATTTATAAATTTTCTAAATGTGAATTTTTAGCTATTAATATTGCATAAAATTTTTTTTAAAGGGCACAGTATATTCAGAAAAAATCTTCCCAATAAAAAAAAATTGTGATTAAATTTATTCATAAAGTACATTTAACATCTTAACAAAATATTTTTAAAAACTGAAAAAATTCTATAATTAACTGATTTCTAAATAATCTATTAACTTGATTTACTAAGATTTCTTCCTTACTGAGATTTTCCTTCCTTGGGCATTGTAAGAATTTTTTAATCACTGTTATTGGTGCCATTTTTATACTTTTGTCCATAGTTAAATACATTTTTATGATGTTAAAAGTAGCCTGTTAATTTTAGCTGCATCCGTGCGGAAAGGCTGGCTTCTTTCTTTTTCTCAGTTTTTCTCTTTCCTCCATTACTTTGTCTACACTTAACAGTGATGATAACGTGCATAAGTTAATCCATCTTTATGATTAACCAAAGAATTAGAAGCTGGAATATTGGTTTGATGAGGACTATGTTAGATTTGAGAAATATTTATTCTGTGTGAAATATTTTCTAATAGCTTGAGATGAAACTTTTTGCAAAGGGGTTATAAAAACCCTTTATCTAGATTATGAGTACATAACCGTGTTAAGAATTTTCTGTCTGTTTCTTCATATGCTTATTTATAGCTGTAATTTGCTTGTTCAGTTGGGAAGGAAAATGTCTCTGTTATCTTTTGAAAGAATTCATTATGAGGATGGGAAGAGGATAATAATAAATGATAGTATAAAGCATTTTGCAATACCATTTTCTTATATAAATATGATTTAGTTGTTTATGATAGCCCAAAAGTATTTTTTGAAAATTAAGGAAAAATTATTCATGTCAAGGAAGAATAGCTGTGACATATTGAAATGTGATAGCCCAAGCATGCCCAGTTTTGTCAACCTGTGACAATCACAACTATCAGCACAAGTATGTATTCAAGGTTTCTGATCAGTGTTTTAGTGCTTATTTAATGCTTTGATTGAAAAATTAGAGTTTTATTGTTCTGGCCATACATGGTGCAGTGCAGTGCTATAAAAGGTATTCCTTCTTTGTTTGATTATATTTTTAGAATTAAGTTGAAATGTCAGAGTTGTTTACTTTTCAGGAATAGCAAGAGAGTAATTGCATTATAAATTTAATATGCACATGACTTTCTTGTTATTGTATTTATTATTATTTATGTTTTAATGAGCACAATTTATTAGGTAAAAATCACCTTATTTGGGCATGTTGCATAAATATTGCAACATAAATAGCATTTTGATTATAAAAAAATGCATAATCTAGAAACATCAACAATGTTTTACTGTATTCAGTTTAATAAGTGGAATAAATATTTACCATTTCTTTTCTCCCCCCCCCACCACATTTCTTTCTATTTTTTCAAACAGGTCTTAAGAGAATATAATGATAGAGAGAATGAAATATCAGATACCGAATTAAGGATAGAAGATTATAAAAAGAAACTTCAAGAACTAAAATCTTATATGGATGAAAAGAAGCAACAATGGTTACCTGCTGTTAAAGGCCACATACGAAATATTAACAAAAAGTTCAGCCAGTATTTTAAATATCTTTCCTGTGCTGGAGAAATAAATCTGGATACTGGCGAAAATTCAGTAAGGACAAATGAACATTTATATATTTATGGCTTTCTGAATTATACTTTTTTATATTCTTATTTTTGTTTTAATGTAATAATTGATTTTAAACTAAATTTCTCTTCATGAAAGCTTTAGAATTTGTTGATAGTTTTTTATTACATTTAATATTTTACAGTCTTGTTTTGCTTATTTGTTAATGTATAAAATTCATTATTCAAAAGTATTTTTATGAACTATGAAACTATAAAAAAAAAGTAAATTAGCGAATATGTCCTTTCTTTCCTCTCTTTTGGAGGTGGGGATTCCTACTAATAAAACACACGAATTTTTCACAACAATTAAAACACATCTATTAATTCACATATTTCCATTTTTAGGCGATCCTATATGTATACTACACACACACATTATTTACCCAAAACTGTATGATTACCTTCTGGAGGTCATGTAAATTCCATTGATTATGAAGGAAACTGTTATTATGATCTCTGAATTGGCATTTTGTGACATCTCAGGTGTTCTCAATTGGACTAATATTCGGTATATAATATTAAGTTAGGATGCCAGGAGCACAGTTCTGGTCTCGTGACAAAAAGTGCTGTGCTGCGGGAAGAGTCCAGTTCCAATAAAAAAGGTTATAAAAGGATATCAGTGACATTGATACAATTGTATTGATACGTCAACAGTACAGTTGTATTTTCAGTTATGTTGTGCTTTAAAACCATCACCAGAGTGTCCTTCTTCAATATTAAAAAAATATATATATTGGGCTTCATTCAACCATGCACTCTTTTCCATTATCATATGGGCCAGTCACAATGTTTATGGCTCATTAAACTTGCAAACATCGATGATACTGGGTTAACAGAAACAATGAGTTGGCAAAATGCCATATCCAGCAATGCATGATGAACTGTGTGTTTATGTGCATTTTACCTTGACCTTCGATTATACACTCTTTTGTAAAAAAATTGAAGTACCAAGAAGGACTTTTGCGATCATGACGAAATTTGATATGCAAAACCATCTTGATTGAACATGCAAATGATAAATGTTTCAAGGTAAATGAGTAGGAATTATGATCATAGCGCACATTTTTAGTGTGCAATTCACAAAGTAAAAAACCTAACAGAGGCGGAAAATTTATCTTTTTTTTTTGCTGCTTTTGCAATTCTGTAAAGAAGCAACTAAAGATGCCATTACAATGATATTGAAGACCTTACAAACAACTAAACAATTTCAAACATGGTTGAATTGTAGGGTTGCATGGAGCTGGGTGGTCATACCGAGCAATAGGCCACCACTTGCAGCATGCAAATACTGCTGTGCAAAGATGGCAGCAATAGTTGCTATGAGGAAATTGCCAACCAAATGAAGGCTCTGGAAGGCCAAGGAGCACAAATGCGAGGCAAGATAGAATGATTGTTCTCCAGGCCCGAACCGCCCCAACGGTATCATTGTCGACTATTCAATGCACTACAGCCACAAAATATCGTAGATTTGGAGCAACAACTGATGAATGCTTGGCAGAATGTGTCACAGGAGGACATTAGGAACTTCTACCACTCCTTGCCTCTGCAAATTCAAGCATGCCTTTCTGCCAGGGGCGGTTTAACTAACTACTAATTTGAGCACTCAATGGGTCATTGTGAGCCGTGAACAGTACTATGACCTTGATTTTTTAATCATTTTATTATCTGTGTAAGAGCTATACACACATTCAATTTCATAAAAAAAAAAAAAACACTTCCTTAATGGTGCTTCGATTTTTTTGCGAAAGAGTGTATATTCAGCTATCAATTTAACCATCAACAGTATCCTAGTTTTGTTGAGTGAGACAGTCTTCCATGTTCACTCTATATAGTGATGATAAGGAATTCAAAATTTTTATGTATGTACATTAGGTAGAAACTTTCATACTATTCAACATAATTATACCAATTTTGGTATGAATATTCTTAAACATCTTAGAAAAAGTCATGTAGGAAATCACATTCCTATTTGCCTTTGAAGCTATAACTTGACTAAAAAACCATACATGAGTTTTTAGCAATGACAAGTGATATGACACATTTATAATATTTATGGCTGATATCAAATTTGTATTTTAAAATTATTCTATAGTTTAATTGCAGTTTTTATTTTGAAAAAGTGAGAGAAATCTTACAATTAAAAAACCAGAAAGAATAGTTATGGATTTAGATGACAGATAAATGACTATTGTAAAGATGTCTAATATTTTGATTTTATTTCTGCACCATTAACTTTTCTGGTGCTACCATATTCATCATTCTAGATGTTCATAGTTTTTAAGGGAAAAAACTTCTAAAATTTTATTTGTGGACATAAAGAATATATTCTTATCAAATTAATATTTGCCCTCCTATTTTCTTGGTCAGTTGAAGTATTGCTTTTAATCAGCAATTAAGAACTTTTTTTTTTCCAAGGAGAAAGGTAGCAATAGATTATAGGGTGAAATGTGTTTAATCATATTAAGATATTTATGTCTTCAAATATCAGTATGATTTTTATAACATCTGATTTCACTGACATTTGAAGAAATATCACTTTGTACAGAGTTTTCAGTACACTTCTGTTATAAAAAGACTTGCAGTGCAAGCCTTTTAAATGTACCGAAAAAATGGCTGAAGGGAACACCAAACAAAAGACCTTGCAGTGTGCAAGCCTTTTAAATGTACCGAAAAAATGGCTGAAGGGAACACCAAACGTTAAATTTAAAAACTGTGTAGAATTTTACTCTGCAAAACAACTTCATAAAAACAAAGTTATTACGTATAACAAAATTAAGATGAAATAAGCAATATCCATTAATACAAATATTTATTATCTTAATAAATAAATTAACCAACTTCCCTTTGCAAAATCTTAAGAACTCAAATGGTATAAAGGGGATTAAGAACTTCGTTTCCTAAAAAAAAAAAAAAAAAAAAAAAAAAAAAAAAAAAAAAATCACTCAAAACTTTTAAATATCTCAAAACAGTGAAATGAGCAATAAATAACATAAAAAATGGGGGGGGGAATTCTGAAAAGCAAAGTATAACTAATGATATTTTATCTTATATTTTAAAGAGAAAAAAATTACAATGAAATAAGCTATATCCCTTAATACAAATATTAATTATCCTAATAAAAAAATTAACCAACTTTCCGCTGAAGAAAAAAAATCAGCAAAACTTTTCAATATCGTACAAATAGTGAAATAAGCAAAAAAAAAACATGGAAGAAACTCAAAACAAAAAATTCCGCACAGAATTTTACTCTGCAGAACAATTTTATCAAAATAAATAAATAAATAAAAAATAAAATAAATAAATGAATAAAAATGTATTTTATATATAAAAAAAAATATGACAATGAAATATGCCAATCTCTTAAAAACAGTGACATAAGAAATACAATGAAAAATTGTTGCCAAACTCATATTTCTAAAAGAATGAAACTATTCAAAATGATGCGATTTCATCAAAAATCTGTCAACAATAAGAAAGGAAAATTGTTGCCAAAATCATATTTTTAAAGATGTGAGAAGTGTACTCGGAAGCTTCATTTAAAATTTTTTTTTTTTTTAAATACAAAATATTATCATTTTTTCAAAATTCTTTTTGCAAAAGCAGTCACAAGGATGAAAGTTTAAGGTGTCAAAAAATCAAAGAAAAATAAACTGTACATTTTTTAAAATAAACTTTTTTAGAAAAAATCCTGTTGAAATGGTTTTAAGCTCCCTTTGTTAAATAAATTCGTATTTAATCGTGTTATTGAAACACAAAATTTATTTTAAGGTCGTAAAATAGCTAAGTGCCTACGTTTCATGACGATGTGAAAATGAAGTGTGTAGAGTAAAATCTTGCTTTCCTATAGCCCATTATGTCTCAAAATGACGCAATTTCCTCACAAAACATAAAATAAAAAAAATTCTAATTCGGATTTTGAAAAAAATCGCTTTGAGGTGCACTGGCTTTTGTCTAGATGCACCTATGTACCAAATTTCGTAGCCGTGGGTCTATTAGCTTACGCGCAACGCGAACGAAAGACACACGCACACACACACACACACACAGACAGACTCTTTCTTTTATTATATGTAGAGATTATGGTATGTTATGTATAGCATAGTATATAATGTATTCCTATATATAATGTAGTATGTCATGGTAGACACATTTTATTTCATACTTTTTAATATTAGCCCTCTGCTTATTCTATGGTTTCTATGCATAACTTAAATGTAGCTAAATTTGTTCATCCCACGATATCTGCGATCATGTGTTTGTTATCTTTATTAAAAGCATATCAAACTGTTTCAATGTTTAACCCTCAGTTGTGCATTTTATGCAATATTTAGACTTTAAATAACATTTTATTCAACAGATGGGGTTGCAGTCCATTCAGTTTCACATATTTGCATAAAGTTCATGAATCAGCATGTAGTTTTTAAATATAAAATAAAAAATGCTTAATTTTTGAAACAATTTTGTTAAAAAATTGAACTGTCAGAGGGTTAACAAAAATTTTTATTTTATATTGCTATTACAGTTAATGAAATAGATTTTTAACTCATTATAATAGGTCAATTGCTCTGTTTCTGCTTCTTATATGCAGTATTATCTACATTAAAAATAAGATGTAATGGTTATATTGAAGTTTTGTTATAACATAAAATTTAAAATCTCTTAAGTCTCTTTTTAAATCTCTTTTTCCTTCAAAAAGTAAGGTTTATTTTTAATATTTTAATGTAATAATAATTTTAATAATAACAATTTTTTAATATTTCTTTTTTACCATTTTACATTTGTAACAAAAATGCTGAAACAACATGGAATATTTAAAAAGTACATATAAACAAAAATTGGAATTCTTGAACTGACAAGTAAACCCTTCTCTCCTTTGATACTACCAGTTTCTCGGAAATCCATATATTTTCTGAAAGCTTATGTCACAAGTAGAAAAAATGTGAAATCTTAAGGGAAGAGGGACACGTGTTTAGGAGCGTCAGGGCCCACAAAGTATCAGAAAAGTGTTGGAAACATGATTCCAAAAAAAATGGTCGTTTCACATATTTATATGAACTAGTACAGTCAAAAGTCTTTAATCCGGACTCGTTGGGACTTCGGCGATTCCGGATTATCGATTTTTCCAGATTATAGATCATCAGTTTAAATCTGGTAAGATGGCATGCAGAAATTATAAAATTAAAAATATGAAACCGTAATTTATAAAATAATGAGAAATTATAATCTAAAGGGTATCAAAATTTACAAGAAAAGAAGCTTAATATTTATTTGTTTACTTTATTAAACATTTCTTTCAATGCGCGCATGCGTAAAGCATAGCTGAAATTAGAAAATTGCAACCAGAAAACTATTTGATTTGTATTCATGATATTTATAATGACGAGGAATTTGATTTAAATCATATCAAAGACGGAGTAGATCGAGATGAAATACTACATTTAGTAAGGAATTATAAGCCGAATAACATAAAAACATCTGCCCTGAAGATAACGATAGTGCTGACAGATCAACTTCCAGTTCATTGCGTGCCGCAACGCCCCCCCCCCCCGTGCGAAATTGATAAACAGATTTCAGAACGGTTAGATAAACAAAGGATATGCCTTTATCCATTTTTTGTAGAAATTCCACTTTTTGTTTGATGGACATCGAAACATACTTTCATTTTCTAGATCTTTTGGGAGCTCCACCATAGGAAATTCTATTTGACATAATCGAAAGTTCAAGCTTACTTTTATAAAATTGCTCTTACAGTCTGCAAAAAATAATAAGCCGGATCCAATTCGAAGATTAAGGAACAATGCAATTATCAACATTAACTGAAATAGATAATTTTAGCTTATACCGTCCGTTATACATTAAACGCACACGTGAAAACGTATTCTGCGCTTGCGCAGACGCACATGCGCAGTCGTAAAGGTCTTGCGCGCACGCGTAAACGCCTATGCACATGCATCAACGCGGAGCATGCGCAGAAAGATTTTAACTTATAGGTCCGTATTATAGATCATTCCGGATTATGGGTGTCCGAATTAACGACTTTTAACTGTAGTATGGTAAGAAAGTGGAAATCTCAGTATAAAGGAAGAAGCAACTCGTTGAAAAGAAACAATATATGTTGGGATGTTGAAAATGTGACTTGTTATTGACTTAAAAAAAAAATCTGTTCTAAGAGATAATCGATATGCAATTCATCAAATAAACAGTGAGACAGGCAGAAAGACAGTTCACAATGGGCACATTTAAGCCTCACACTTTGCACACTCATCATTTGTCAATGAAATGAAGCAGTAATCCATTGGTACAATCCACATTCCAGGTTTGTTGTTCAAGTATCTGCCCTTATAAAAAACATACTTTATCAAGTTCTTAAAACAAAGAGCGCTGAATTGATACAGGACTGCAGGGTCAGAAAACTATTGTGATGCCAAATGTGCTCCTGTGTTTCGATAATGATTGTGTTCGTTATGTAATGAACAAAAGATTTGTAGTGTTATCAAAAATATCTTTTCCATAAATCCTTCAGGTACCAGTTCTTTTTGTAGGACTTTACTATCAGGTACTTCGGAAGCACACAATGCATGAACATACAAGAAATAGGGACGCCATTACGGAAATATGTCTATCAATACGCACTTCAATGATACTTTGTGGGTTTTCTAGCTCCTAAATGCTTATCCCTCCCGTAAGATATTACAGTTTTTCTGCTTGTGCTTGTTTTCAGAAAATATATGGGCTTCCGTAAAACCGGTACGAAAGGAGAGAAGTTTTACTTCTGAGTTTTAATATTATTCAATAAGTAGACCTTTTAGTTAAAAAAATAAGTGCAGTATTTATATGATTTTTTTCAGTATTTTAAAATTAGTTATATATTTAGATTTTTAATGGCAAAATCTTCTTTGAAGTGTCATAAGATAGTCTGAAGATTTATTTATTACTCCTTGTAAATATTTCAAATTACAACAAGCCTTTATTCAACTTAAAGCCCCTCCTTCCTAAAGTAATAACATACATATCACATGAGTTGATGCATATAGTTATCATACATATAAAAAGGAGATAGGTTAAAAGCTTTTTATATATTGTTAATGCTTGTTTTGGATTGTATTTGCTTGCATTTTTATTTTTTTTATCTCATTTCTGCTTGTATGTTTTGCTTTTTCTATCTGTATCTATAAGCTTTTGCCAACATGCATTCCATATTGGGGGGTAGAGAGAGTTGCAGTATAGATGATCTGACTTATATCAGTGAGAAAAATATCACAAATTAAAGCATAATAACTTTGAAAAATAAAATAATAATAAAAGAGTAATAACATTTATAGTAGCAATATTGTTATAGTTATTTGAGCTCTTATTACCTAAATGTAGAATTCATTTATTTGTGTATGTATTTTTCTAATTTTAATGTAGGATAATTACAACATTTTTCTAATATCCATTGTAGGATGACTGTGTGTATATATATATATATATATTTTTTAACATCTGCTGTAGGATGATTTTCAAGGTTATGGACTTCAAATAAGACTGAAATATCGTGAGGATGAACCTTTCACTGAACTTTCACAAACACATCACAGTGGAGGGGAATGCAGTGTTGCAGCAATAATATTTATTTTATCTCTACAGGACTTAACTGAAGTTCCTTTTAGGTGCATTGATGAAATAAATCAAGTATGATAATTTGTTTCTTTCCCCTGTAATTTATATCTATACTAATAAATAATCAAGAAGTAATTAACACAAAATTAAATCTTACCAAACATATTAAAAAGAGGGGACAAACAGAATTTCAAAAATCCAATTGAAACAAAAGTAATTTATTGTAGCAAAATTTATACATTTTGTATCATTTCCATAATTTTTGGCCCAAAGGACACTTGCTTTGTTTTTTAACAATTTCTGTTTTTGAAAAGCATATATGTAACATAGACATATATACAGTACAAAGTCCGTAATCCGGACATCCATTATCTGGAATGATCTATAATCCGAACCTCAAAGCCACAAACTTTTTTTTTTTTTTGTATACTTTACGCATGTGTGCATGCGTTGCTTCCGATAGTGAAGAAAGTGACAGAGAGGTTATTGAAAACGAAAAAATTTCGATTGACAAGTTAGTTGGTATTTCTTGACACAGCAATTACAGGACTTGAACAGTGGAACTTTGTAACTGAACAAGAAATTATGTCTGTTTATAGAATTAAAGAGAAAGTATTAGTACAAAAATCGAAGCAACTAAAACAACTTACATTGAAAGGAATGTTTAATAAAGTAAACAAAAAAATATTAAGCCTTTTTTTTTTTTTTTTTTTTTAATTTGATACCCTTTAGATCATAATTGCTCTTTATTTTATAAATTACGGTTTCATATTTTTAATTATACAAATTCTGCATGCCATCTTAACAGATTTAAATTGAGTCGGGATTACGGACTTTGTACTGTATATATATAGAATGAAAATGGACATTATATAAAAAAAATTCTAATATATGTATGTATTGTCTAGTTCACCAGAATTTTTCCTTTGGGAAAATGTTCTTTATCCAGTTAAAAAATTTTAATTTAGGATTTAAAAATTTGACTTTTGCAGAAATTTGGCAATTTTTTGTTTTTTGCGATTTTGTATTTCTTGTTGGCTTGTGCATTTGCCATGTTCCTTTTACAAGTTAATAATTTTTAAGAAAGTTTCTAATTTTGATTATATCTTGAATGAATGAATTCAGATAATAATAATAATAAAATTCATTTTGAAATTTTAGCTTCTTTTTGTTGTTTTATTTTATATTGATTTAATTTTGTTTAATTTAATTTTCTAATTTTTTATTTTATTTTATTTATTTATTTATTTATTTTTATTATTTATTTTTATCCACATATAATCAAAATATGACTCTGTTAAAAATTCTTTTGGCTGGTCACTTAAAAACACCAAAGAATTTTCAACTATTATTTAATTTTGTATAAACTTTTATTACATTAATTTCTTTGGTTTCAGTTTCAATTTTTTAAATTTTACATTCTGTCTCCTCTTCCCAAGTTTGCCACTATAGAAAGATTTAATTTTGTGTTAAATGTCTCTTGATTATTTAATTTGTTTTACAATATTTTGCATGGATTTAATAATTATTCAGTTTTTTCAGTTGCTAATCATATATATATATATACAGGATGTGTATAATTAAAAACCCTATTTCAAAGCTGCCTACAAGCAAAACCATTGATCAGACAACTGTGAAATTTTTGTGCTGGACATAGTGAAGGGATGAGAATTTCTTTCAGTGGGGGGAGGGGAATTACAATTAGCATCACTAGAGGGTATTATATTAATAAATTATACATTTATTTACAATTTTACTATAGTTTTACAATTTTACAAATTTTGTTACCAAAAAACATTTTCTACATGATTGCTATCATTCTCAGCTGCCATCTGAAATTGCAAGATGGCATGTTCCACAGTTAACCGAAGTGTGTGCTGAGAAATGTTCAGCACATGATGTAGAATGCTGACTTTAAGATCAGGTAAAGTTCTTCTTTGACTGCCATGACTTACCAAATGTTTCAAATGTCCGCAAAATCAAAAATCGCATGGATTGAGGTCTGTGGTTCGGGACAGCCACACATTACGAAAGTGCCCACTAATGACACGCTATTCTGTAATGTGATATTTAAGAACATTCGGAATACACCTTGCAGTGTGTGAAGGAGAAGACACTGACAGAACAGGTTCGTTCTCTAACAATGCTGCATATCGCTGCCCAGTGATGGAGCTTGTCACTGGACCTGTGGAATTTAACTCTTCAAAGAAATACGCCTGGAGAATGAATGACGCAGAAGCTCCACAAAATACTGTCACTTTTGTTGAATGCAATGGAACCTCTAAGACAGGGTGTGGATTTTCTGATTCCCAAACTCGGCAGTTGTGAATGTTCACTGCACTGTCCAAATGAAAATGCACATCATCTTGCTGGAGGATATTCCAGGGCCATTATGAATTGATCTCAAAGTGAGCAAGGAACTGAAGTGAAAACCGGAGTCGAGCATCAAAATCATTCAGAGTCATGCATCAAAATTATGCTGCACTAGTGAAAGTGTATAAGGGTAATATCGGAGGATGTTTCGCAAGATCTTATGGACAGTTGAATGTGGTCTATCCAACGCCTCTGCTATACACTGAACGCTGGTGCTAGCTTCAAAGTTTCAAGCTGTGCCCTTTAGGATCTGAAGCACAACCATCTTTACTGCTTCTTCAGCAACAGATTTTCTTCTTCTTCCAGGATGAACAGAAATGATTCCATTTCTTAAAATTTTGTTATCGTTTTTCAAAGGTTTTTAACATTCATTGGACTTTTTAGATTCCTTTCAAAATTCGAAATTTGCGGAATTACTCTTTTGGGAAAACAACTTTACTAACTAAGCATGATCTCTTAAACTTATCGTCATTGTGAACAACAGCAAATTGAAAACGACTGTTTGTAGGTTTTATAACAGCTGCTGCAAGATGTCGGCAAAGATTTGCATTTTTGTTGGTGGTCTTCAAAGTAAAACGCCCTCTGGTAATGCTGTTTATAACTTTTTTTCCACTGAAAGATATTCTCATTCCTTTATTAAGTCCCCCACAAAATACCACAATTTTCTGATCACTAACTTCACTTATAGGCAGCTTTGAAGTAGAGTTCTTTAATTATGAACTCCCTATACAAAGTTTGTTGCCATTAAAATTTATTGCATTCATTTGTATTCTTTTTTGGGGAAAAGAGAGTTAAAAAAAAAAATATATTATTTAATATTGGTAAAGTTCATTTTAAAATAGTTTATTGTTGTAAAGGTCAGATTCAAATTATAATTAATCACAAAAGGATTTAATTGAAGTGTAAGAATTAAGATATATATATTATATATATAAATGTTGTATGAACTTAAATCCATTTAGTGCGAATACAAGTTATTATTACTTGCGCAATTGCTGCAAAGTTAGTTAATAATAATTTATTTCCTAAACAGTATTGATTAATTGATTATATTATCTCCTAAGTTTAATTAAAGTAGAAATTATTTAAAAGAGTGCATCCATACTGGTAAGTTATATTTTGAAAGATGTTTTGAAGTAATTTGAAAGCAAAATGTTAATAATGTTTTAACGGGGACTGGAGTTAAATCATCATGAAGAATAATATTATCAATTGTAAAAGGAAAATTAAAAAATGTAATATTGTCATTGATCGGAAATTATTGACTTTTCAAGGGGAACAAACCAACTCCCATTCAATGAACAATAATTGAAAAATACGTAAATACGAAAAGTGTTTCGTCTTTACTCGAGTTATAAGTTAAAGCCAAACCGGCAATTCTAGTCAGGCCAAAAATTTCCGAATAGAAATAGTTGATACTCAAAGAACTTATTCTATAAAGCATTTTAGTCAATTCAATTTGGAGTAAAAATCAATTACTGTAGAGAAATCCTGTAAAACTCTAGTAACCGTCCCCGACACTATCATCTTTATGTATTTGAGTACTATATTATTTGTAGAAATTAAACATTGGAAATTGTCATTATGAAATCGAATTCAAAGTAAAGTTGAAATAAACATAGAAGATTATAAAAAAGATAAATAATGCAAACTTTGTAAAAACAAATCAAAGAAAAAAAAAATAAAATATAGAAATAATATAAATAAGGTCAGTGAATGTACATGAAGATATAAAGGCCAGAAAGGTATTAAGTAACTTACATTCTTTCTAGTGGGGGAGTTGGCAAAGTGTTCTCTTCGTGTCTGACTCAGAAGTGTAGGGTGTCTGAAAATTCTTAGCGGCAGTAGGGGCTTTGAATAATATCAGTCGGTAAGACTTGGGTGAAGTAATTTATGGTAGTGGGTGGGACTTGGAATTCTTGAGGGATGTATTTTGTGGAGTTCTTATCTGAGAGAGACCGTCTGTTAAGATTTTTTTGAAAATACTAGTGAATGGAAATTAATTAATTTCTGGCTAATTGTCGTGTCGCAATGATTAAGAATTTAAGAAAGGAAAAAGGAATTTTCGCTGTCCAAGAGCTAATAGACAGTCTAAAGGCAGGAAATAGGCCCATTTTTTTAGTAACAGTATATGTCTGAAGACAATTAGCTTTTTACAATATATACAATTGAGTAATTACACTATTATTATATATTACTTTCAACTGACAGTCATCCAACTTATACCACCTTCTCAGGTTTAGGAATAAATTATCATATCCCTATCAGTTAAATGATTTAGAGTGAGTATTTAACGCCTGCTCTTTTAAGGCAATGGTTGATAAATTGAAAGGGAATTAGATTATTTTTGAGAATTTTGATAAGGATCAAAATTTCGCGTTGTAAATCTATTGTATCTGTGCATATAATTTTAATTCGTTGTATTTGATTAATTATAGTATTGTTAATTACTTTTTTGGATATGTTGGAGTTCCAATTTATTAATTTGTTAGTATTGAAATTGAAGTTTCTTGTTTTGTCAAAAAGTAAAATTTTTTTGTAGTTAATGATTTGAAGATCTAGAAAGTCTATGCTATTTTGTGAATTATTAGTTTTATTAAGTTTAAGACAATTCGGATAAATGTCGGAGTTTTCAATTTTACCAAAATTATTAATTGTAATAAGGTCATCAATATATCTGTAGGTGTGTTTGTAGTAAT